AGCAGCCGGGACTTGAACTGGCACCCATATGTGATGCTGGCTCTGCAGGCAGCTAACCCACTCGCCATAGCACAGGCCCCACCATTTATTCTTGTGCCTGTTTGCTCAGCAGTCTGTTGTTGCCCTCTAGATCTTGTTTTTTAAGACTTACTGATGGATTGAAACTGGTGACTGTGGAGTTGCTGTTCAGATGACCACTAGTCCCTCTCACATGACTTGGATTTTTTACTTTTGGTTTCCAAGTGTGGGTACAAAAAGGCAGTCTTGTTTTTCTTATTTCCTTGTGGTTAATCACAGATTATTAAATGCTCACAGGAGAACATATGGTACCATAGCCTCTGTAACTCAGGGAGTAGATTCAGAGTGTAGAGTTGAGGAGGCTTCCCTAAGGAGTAACTTGCTGGGAACAAAGGATTTAGAAAGGTGGAGAGGACGGTGGGGTTAGGTGTGAGAGCTGGGGTTTGTGTGGTAGGCTGCAGGCGGCCGGAGGAACAGACACTGGCTGGGTAGGTCTGCCTCCTTCTGCATTCCAGGGTCCAGAGGTGCTCAGCACGGGTTGAGGCATGGCTCTTGGCAAGCTGGGTAAGCACAGGAACTAATATAAAGCAAATCAGAGTTTATGGTGATAAAAAACAGAGCCTTTCAAGTCCCTCCCCCCCTTTTTTTTTTGATCCTAAAAGACCAGGCTTTCTGATTTGCAACATGGGCAAGCTCTGTAAAGAGTGGGCAGTCACACTAAGAAAGGTGGGTCTTTGAAAGCCTTTTAGACCCAGTTGTCCAATATAGTAGCCACCAGCGAACAGAGTAAATTTAAAATTCAGTTCCTGAATTGCACTAGCCATGTTTCAAGTGCTCAGGAGCTGCATGTGCTACTGTACTGGACCATGCTGACCATTCTCATCATTGCACAAGACTCTGCTGCTCCAAAGCAACTGAGCTTTCTTCCAGGAGTATGTAGAGCAGGTATTGAGATAATGTTGGCTTCAGTGTCCCTCCTTCCCAGCTCGCAACAGGATAAGGTGCTGAGAACCTTGTTGATCTTCTTGCAAATGAAGTGTTGAGGGCTCACAGAGTCTTCTTTCTCTCTTCTGCCACAGTGTTGGAGAGCTGGCTGGACTATACTGGGGAACTGGAGCCCCCAGAGCCACTGGCCAGGCTGCCACAACTCAAGCACTGCATCAAGCAGCTACTTACAGACCTGGGCAAGGTGCAGCAGATTGCCCTCTGCTGCTCTACATGAAACTGGGCACCCAGAACTAATGGGGGCACCACCTTGGGGCACCTGCAAGAGGAGCTTCACGTATTTAAATGAACAAACCTAGCATGCCGAATGCACGTGACACCAACTGACTTCAGGGATCCAGCCAGGAATGTGAGGGATGTTGGACGGAGAGGCCATTTCTGGCTGCTGGAGGACAGGGCACTCTGATCTTGAAGCCTGCCAAGAAGCTGGCAGATAGACTCTTTGGGATTCCCTTCTTCTGTGCACATCGTTGAATGAAGAAGAGTCATTTTGCACAAACTTCACTTGAAATCGTGCCACTGATGATAAATGGAATGAGAGCCAAAAAAGTTTATTTGGGGACAGTTGTAAATTCTACTTGCAGTTTATTTAATTGACTTCTGTCAGGTTGGGGTAGCCAACCCTGCTGGTTTCTGCCTGGCATGGTGTTTAGGCAGCAGGCATCATTTCATGTTCCAGCCTAACGGGAAGGTTGGGACTTGACCATTCAGTGGTGGCTGGGAAGCAGCAGAGGCCTTGGCTGCCGTGCTTTTCCAGTAGGACACTTCACTTTTCTCACATCTTTTGCATGACTTCCTGGTACCCGGGACGAGTTCTGTGTAACCTCACCCCAGAGTTGGCTTTTGTAGCAGAACCCTACAGCCCTTGGAGGAACTAGAATCTCACTGTGTTAACAATCTAGGAGGAATTCCAAACTGAAACAGGCAGAGTCTGGAACCCAAAGGGGATGGCATTTTCTACCCACGTCTCAACATTGACAGCTTCCTGGTCCTATTTAATGTCCAAAAAAAGTTTCCCAAAATTCTGAACTTTCACTGTAAAGATTTGTTACGAGGAATGTGGTTTGGGGATGTTTCCTTGTTATTTTATACTGTTGTAAACAAACTTCAGATGTGACATGTGCCGCTTTTCTCCTCCCCTGAAGGGTGTGTTCAATAGTCTGCATCTTCAGAATTGTCTTGTTAATATAACACTTTAAGTTCCACGTATTATTTTGTGAGATCAAGGTAATTATGCTGCTTAAGGTCCAGGTACAACCCATTTGTACCTTTGAGACATTATTTGTGTTATTTTTGCAGGTTATGGTTCCACATGTAATTGCTATATTTTGTTTTTCCTTACTAGGCAAAGTTAAAATGTTCTATGCTTTGAGGAGTAACCCGTTTTCACTAGTTTTCTTATCACTAAAGGCAAAAATCAAAGCACAGTTGTCCATTAACACAAGTTAATTATGGGTTTATGAATCTATAATGTTATGTGCTGCAACTATTTACTATGTAAACGTGAAGTAGCCAGAATCTCAATAGCAGTCACTCCAGAGCCCTTTGGAATGGTTAGGCTTTAAGGCGCAGGTTGCTGTGGTCATGAATTCAGGCCTCTACTAAGGAAGACCTGTTTCAGGGCATGCTCTAGTAGTGTCCACCATTTGATATAAAGTGAATTCCAGGCCAGGTATAAGTTGACCTGTTGTAGCTTATCCATCAGAGGGAACACATGTGGCTGTGACATAGGTAGTGAAGTTGACACAATTCCCCTGTCAGATGCTGTTTCCCGCTGCCAACATTGGTGTTTCTGATGTGGGAAAAAATGCTCAAGGAGTGTGCACAGCATCAGTGTTTTGGACAGTTTACTAGACAGCTGTGTAAGCATTGTGTGATGTTGGACTAAAAAGGGAAGGAAACAGGATGATTTTCTGTAGCCACAACTGTGAGGCATGATGATGTTGTATTATACTGATTTTTTCTTCTGGAAATGCATTTAAGTATTACATCTAGGGAAACTGTTAACTTTTAAGACAGTCAATTTTGTGTCTTGTTCAAAGAAGCAGAAACTGAATTACCATTTTGCCAAGTGGCCATTATTGGGTTTATTAAGTTTTGTAAAAGAAATAATCCATTTCACTCATTTTGACTTTTGTTCTTAGGGAAGCAGGGATGACTCCTCAAATTCTGAGAAACCTCAGTGTGTTTCCCTAACTTAAAGCCATGTTGAGGGGCTCCATTCCCAGTTTCTGGGTCAAGCTGAATTAACCCCCAAGTTGGAGCACTGGAAACTGACTCAAACCTTGCTGTTACCATTTAGAAATATGTGCACTACCTAAGTTTGGTTTTTTGAGAAAAGCTATCCACCTATAAGAAATTGCCTTGATAAGAACAGTTCTGATTTGACTAATTTTAAGTGATGAGTATATGCAAGGTGGATCCTTGATGAGCCAACATTGCACTGTGGATATATATCTATGTTTACGCGCTATTAGAACAGAAGGCGCTGTATATAGAAATGTTGCTTTGAAGCAATATTTGCAAAACAAGCAAACTTCTGTATCTGTATTTGGAAAAAATAAAACAGGTTCTTGTTGCTGTGTTTCTATTAATTAGTTCTTTGCCCTTGGTTTAATATGCATTGTTTTCTCTTGTGAGGTGCAGAATCTCACTGTATTAACATTTTTTCTTTTTAGATTTATTTGAAAATGAGTTACACAGAGAGAGGAGAAGCAGAGAGAGAGATGTCCTCCATCTGATGGTTCACTCCCCAGATGGCCGCAACGGCCAGAGCTGTGTCAATCCAAAGCCAGGAGCCAGGAGCTTCTTTCGGGTCTCCCACACGGTGCAGGGTCCCAAGGGCTTGGGCCATCTTCTACTGCTTTCCCAGGCCATAGCAGAGAGCTGGATTGGAGGTGCAACATCCGGTTCTCGAACTGGTGCCCATATGGGATGCTGGCACTTCAGGCCAGGGAGTTAACCTGTTGAGCCACAGCACTGGCCCCAACAATATATTTGAAAGTCTGGGTTAAGAGATTTTCCAACTGCTGGTTCACTCCCCAAATAGCCTGGGGATGGGCCAGGCTGAAGCGAGGATCCTGAAATTCCAGCCAGGTATCCCATGAAGGTGCAGGGCCCAAGTACTTGGGCCACCTGCTGCTGCTTTCTCAGGTGCATTAGCAGGGAGCTAAAACCCTATCTTTAGCGGAAGCCTGCTCTTGCCCTCTAAATGGATATTTTGCAGCAAAGCAGAAACAACCTGTGTCAGGAAATCCCAAGAAAGTATTCAAAGTACTTGTGAATCCATTTAAATGTTTTTCTTTATTCAAAAGCAAAATACCCATACCAGCTTTTAGTCCAGTCTGGCTCATGCTTTTTGGTGCAAGCTGCAGATGGACTATAGTGCTGATTGCTGGAAGCAGGTCTCGCACCTGCTGTGTTCAGGCCCTGCTGGGTGGGACCCGAGGAGCCCCTCCTCGAGTGGGCAGAGCCTCAAGAGAGGAGGAGTCCCGGTTAGCACAGATTTTCCTCCTTTCTTGCCAAGTTCTTTTCCCTCTAAACAATTAAGCTGATTAAATTAGGGGCCAGCTGCAGAGAAGTTAAAATGAATAGCTTCAGTAATGCAAACCATCCTTTCGTTCACACCAGCTCCTCCATTTAAACCCTACCAGGAGCCTAAAATTTTGCAGCGGGGGCGCTAAGTCTGGAGGCATAAACCAGAGTTCATCAAGAACTAGTCTCTCTGCAAGGTGTAAAAGCACATGGCAACAGCCCCGGAATTCGGGCCTTAGGGAAGGAAGGCAGGTTAGCGTCTACCCGCAGGACTCCACAATCCATCATCCAGGTGGTCCAGGCCTGGTCAAACATGCAAGGACCCCACAACAGCTAAGGCAGGCCCAAGGACTAGGAAATGGAGGCCTTCCGCGCGCTCCTGCTGGGAAACAGGCTCGGTGAAACTACCCCAATAGAAGACGAACGAAAGAGACACACCAGACCACGGGAGCTGCCAAACTCTATTTCATTCACAGAGTGGGGAGCAGGTTCTCGCCGCCCCACGCCCCACCCGCCACGCCCTGGGACCGCAGCCCCGCCGCTCAGCCGGTGATGCGCACATCGGCGCGACGACGCAGCCGCCGGGCCCGCGCCGCCTCGGGCAGGATGGCGAGCAGCTGCTCCTGCACCAGCATCTGCACTATCTGCTCCTTGGTGCGGATGTCGGGCCGCAGCCACTGGCGGGACAGCTCCCGCAGCTGGCGGAACGCCTCGCGGGGCCCCGCCGCGTCCTGGTAGCGGAACTGCCGGAAGCGCTGGCGGAACGTCTCGGGCCCGGGCCGGGAGCCGCCGGGGCCCGGCGGGGAGCGCGGAGCGGCCTCGGCCTGAGGCGCAGAGCCCAGGGGCAGCTCCAGGGCCGCGGGGGGCGGAGGACTCGCTTCCTTGACGGCGGGCTCCAGGGAAGGCGGTGAGGCCTCTAGAATGGAGGGGCCCGCGGAGTTACGCTCCGGGTCTGAGCTCGGGCCCGCTTCCTCCTCGCGTTTCTCCAGCGACGCCGCTGAGGGACTCCGGGGGGCCCCCAAGCTCGGCTCGGTCTCCGCCATAGCTCCGGGCGTCACTCTTTTGTCCAGCAGCCGTGGGCTCAGCACTGCGTCTGCGCGGGGGCGGGGTGAGGAGGGAGAGAGACGCGTCCCGCTGAAGGGCGACCGAAGAGGGAGGCGACTCGGGACGGGTGACGAGGGCGCGGAACTTACCTGCCCCGCGGAGCTCCAGGCGCAGCCGGAAGCGGAAGCCTCGCGAGGCTCCTCTGTGATTCCGCGGTCGCGTGAGCGCCCGGAAGCCGAGGCCGAGCTTCCGGAAGCAGCGCCGCGCCGCGCCGCGTTCGCGAGGCCCTGGAGGAAGCGACGCGCTGGAGGAGCCGTGAGGTACTTTTAAAGGAGAGGGACCCGGGCTGCGGCCCCGGCAGCGCCTGGGCTGGCGGTGGGCGCGAGGATGCGGTCGGCCAGGCGAGGTGGTCTCGCGTCGGCGGCACCCGCCCTTAGTGCGACGGTGACAAAACCCGACCCGGTGAATGCTCTGCCGTCTTTTTTGTGTGTGTGTGTGTCTTCTGAAGCCAAGCGACAGGCGGCTCTGAGGCTTTAAGCGTTGCGGGCTGGCAGTGCGTGGCCCGCGCGGTGGCCGCCAGTCACAGGTGTCAGCTGGGCCCGTGAGGTGAAGCCGGTCCGCCTGGAGACGTGCTCCTTCGTAGGGACAAAATGCAAAACGCCCCAATAATCGTTTATACTGTGTACATGTTGGAATGTAACGGTTTGCCTATATGGGATCAAATAAAATATGTTATTAAACTTAAATTCATCCGTGTCTTTTTACTTTTTAAGTGCAGCTATTGGGAAAATTTACATTTATATTTCTGCCGAACAGCACCGGGCTGGAGAGTGGGGGTCAGAGTGCCTTGGTGGAATCCCCTTTGCAAGGTTTATTATCTGGCAGTAATGGTGCCTACCCAGAGCTGTTGCGAGGATTGAATGTGGGAAGCCCCTGGGAAGAAAGGACTTTAAGAATACTATTCTCATTGAGCAAGGTGTTCCTGTCTCTGAGCTACAGTTTCCTGTAAAACGTGGATGCACTAGCACCTACCTCATAGAGGTTATTGTGAGAATCCAGTAAGATTAATGTGTGTAAAAGTACAGAACTCGCAGCCCTTCTATGAATGGAACATGTGGGTCCACAGGCGACTCACAAATAGGCATTGTATCCCTGTTGTACGGAAAGGGAAACAGGCCCAGAGTTCAGCCCCATGCAGGAAGGGTGAGCGTATTCAACAACCGTCCACACACCAGTGGCCCTGGGATCAATAGGAAACCTGCCCTCTTGCAGGGTGACCTTGGATGGGAAGATGGAGATGGTCAGGGAACAAGTTCCAGAGCCTGAAAACCTTGGAAGCCATCACGTGGGTCTTTAATGGTTTTTTAGTTGTTGATACGTAAAAATTGGTAAATTTCATATGCAAATCTGGTTTTCCAGCTTTTCTTGAAAAAAGGTGAAAGAATTGGACTCATTCCCAGCAGAAGCTGAGTAAACTTCCTTTGACCCAGATGCTCTGTCTTGCCTGGTCCCGGTTCTTGCTGCTGCTCCCTAGTCTCTGAAACAATGTTTGCATTTACTCTTGCTCTCAGGCTGGTCTCCCCAGAGCTGGGGAAATGAAACTCCAGGTGGAGCTGGTGTGTGTTACACCTGCTTGCTTCACAGCTTCTGACTGGCCCCTGACAGTTGGGTTTGCTTTCCCCAGTGAACCACGGTCCTATGCCCTGTGTGGGAACAAATAATCCAGCGTTGAGGGAGCATACAAACCCTGCTGCAAAGACAAGGAGCCGTGAAAGGCTTCCCAGGAGGGGGCCTTCAAGCTGAGCCTCAAGAAGAAAGGGTGGAGTTGGGGGGCAGTCCAGGCACTGCCTGCACCAGGGCACATAGAGAGGTAGAGACAGATGCCCTCATTCCTCATCAGAATTCCTAGGTTCAGTACCCAGCTCTGGCTTCCAACTCCAGCTTCCTGGTAATGTGCACCCTGGGAGGCGGGCTCAATAGCTCAAGTAACTGGGTGTCTGCTACCCATGCGGGAGACCTGGCCCAACTCAGGCTCTTTGTGAGTATTTTGGGAGTGAACCATCAGATGGGAGTTCTGTCTTCTGTCTGTCTCTCTCTGTTTCTCTGCCCTCAAATAAAGAAATAAATACATAAAAGTTCGAAAATGCAGTCCTGCCCTGTTGGGGAAGGGAATGAGCTCTTGTGGTACTTGGGATCATGAAGTGTTAGCTCTCTGGTCCATTTCTTGCATCCTATTGGGATCATGGAATATTAGAGGTGAAAGCGGGGATGGGGGGTAATCTTAGAGACCTGTTAGAATCATGCAATGTTAGAATGGAAGGGGCCTTAGAAATTGCATCCAAAAATCCAGTTGGTTATTCTAAACGTTTTGTGGGCTAGTAAGAAACCAGAATCTGAAAAATAATACCTCTTCCTAGAAAAGGGATGTAGTTATGTACTTCTGCATACAGTTTCAGGTAATTTACACGTTCTTGAACCTACCTGGAGGCTCCAGGTTAGGTTTTAAAAATAAATATGTATTATACGCACTTGCCATGAGTTTTTGAAGACCTTATATATAAAGGCACTTGTAGAGAATCTGCCACTAGTATACATATATATATTTTAAATGGTAATAGTTATGATATAAACACTTGAATGTGTAAGTTCACATATGTGGTATATTTTTTAAATATGGCATTATGTTATTAATCATTCAACATTTATTTGTGACACTTTATTAATTGAAAAATTAAGGCCTAGCAAGATTAATTAACTTGCCCAGGTTCGGCCAATACATAAGATTGGGCTTCAAACCCAAGTTTCACCTATACATTTGGAAGCCATGGAAGGGGTTTAAATAGGGAAGGGATGCAATCAGATTTGTTTTAGGAGACTCACTTTGCTTAAAAAGAGTGTTGCTGGGGTGGAAGTTTGGTGAATGGTGAAGCCACTCCTTGAGAAGCCTGAAGCCTGCAACCCGGATTTAAGTTCCGGCTCCACTTCCACTTCCAGTTTCCTGCTAATGCATATCTTGAAGGGAACGAGTGGTTGGTTTCCTGCCATCCCTATGGGAGTTTCCAAGGCAGCAGCCAATTGTGGGCATTTAGGGAGTGAATCATCAGAATAGGAGCCCTCTGTTTCTATTTTTCCCACTGCCTGTCAAATAATTTTAAAAAGAATATTGCTTTATTACTGAATACTTAGATTATTTCTGATTTTCATTATTAAAACAATGACAGCCATCACGTAGCTAAAGCTCTTGTACTTTGGATTACAAGTGTCTGTTGCTATCAAATCTGTTTGGTTTCTGAATTTGAAAAACAGGAGTTGTTGAGCTAAAAGCAAAGGCTGTGAGGAAGGGCCCCTTGGCCACAGGTGAATTAAAAAATCTGGCAAAAAGTCAGCTGTTCCTTGTGCCTGCAGTGATGATGAGCTTTGATTCCTTTCCTGTTTAAGCATCTGAATTCTCTCCCTTTGCATCCCTTGCCACCCATATTGTAATGAAGTCTTATCTTAGAGCCAGTTGTACATTTACAAATAAACTTTGGGGGGGGGGGCAAGAGTTCTGATAATGAGAGTTTGAACAGTAAAGTTTGTACTTCCCTAAACTATAATCCCAAAAGGTTGACTAAATTAAATATTTTTGCTATGTATTGCTGCCTTTTTTCCTATAGAGACTTGTTTGATTTATAGAACGTTAGGACAACTCCTAAAACCCAGACTGGCAATCAAAAGTCCAGAAAGTAGAAGTACCAGCAAGGGCAAGTGGCTAGGACCCAGCGGTGAGTGTTAGTCCTTTGGCACACTTGCCAGCACTTGGTATCGTCGTGTTTTTAAAAGCCATTCTAGTAAGTGACCAGTGGCTGCTCACTGTGGTTTTAATTTGAATTTCCCTAATGACATTGAGCATGCTTTCATGGGCTTATTTGCCATCCTTGTATCTTCTTTGGTAAAATGTTTGTTCAAATCTTCTGTTCATTTTTTACTGTTTTCTTTTTGTTGTTGTTATTCTATTATTGCTGAAGCTGCTTATTTTTGCTTTTTATCTGAATTCAGTTTTTAAACATTGTGATAAAATCTAAGGACACAAAATTGACTACTTAAGCTATTTTTTTCAGTGTACGGTTCAGGGGCATAAAGTACCTTTGTTATGCCCAGATAAGTAGATCCCCAAGAAGCTATCAGCCCAATCACACCGAAATGCAAAAGCAAGGTTAAAGGTACAAGCTGCGACAGGGACCTCATCCAACCAACCTGCGCAGCGGAGGAAGGAGGAAAGACCCAGGTCTTTGTTCGGGGACGCTTTTAAAGGGAAGATACGTCAGCAAGGGCTTAGGGTGCGGGGCCTTTTGTGATTGGGCAGGGCAGAGAGGGGGTCTCCGTTTGGTTTGGGCTCAGGGAGTTACCTCATTTGGTAATCTCTACTGAGCTGCCCTTGGTCTGCTGAGCTAGCTGTCCTTCGTAAGCTTTGATATCCCGGAATGCCTGAATGCCTGCTTTTACAAGGACTTGGGTCTGCTATGGGAAACGGAGGCTGCTTTTTATTGTTTCAAAATGGAGTCACTTTGGCTCTTCACCTTCACATCCTCATGCACCCATTACCACGATCTCTCTCCAGAACTTTTTTATCACTCCAGACTGAAGCACTGTACCCATTAAACAGTAACCCTTAAATTCCCTGTCCATGGTTCTGTTTTCTGTCTGTTTGAATTTAACTATTCTGTGTCCGTCGTATAGTTATATTTGTCCTTTTATGTCTGGCTTATTTCGCTTAACATAATGTCTTCAGGGTTCATTCACACTGGAACATTATCAGAATTTCATTCCTTTTTTAAGACTAGTATTCAAGTGTGTGTGTGTGTGTGTATGCAAACAAACACCAGAGTACTTCAGAAAGTTTATGGTGGGTGAGCGTTTTGCCTGGCTGTTAAGATGTTGGTTAGGGGGGCGGCGCTGTGGCGTAGCAGGTAAAGCTGCTGCCTGTGGTGCCGGCATCCCATATGGGTGCCGGTGCAAG